TTGAAATATAATATGCCCCTTTTGAACTTTGACTACCACAAACACAACAACTCTGTTTAGGTTAAGCACTCGTTCAATGTTCTAATAATTTCCTAAATTTTTTAGTAATAAAAACCATGACTTAAGTTGATTATAGCTTTTTTAATGTTATTCCTAACAATCGCATTCGCACATTCGCATTCAGAAAATTCGGATTCGCGAATGTGAAACATATTACATTCGAAATTGGGAAGGTCACTGTGAATCTGATAAGATTTACAGCCGCACTCAGAAACATTCATTAAATTAGCTTTAACCTTTCATTGGTAAATCAAAAATTTGTATATGTACATATGGCCACAGTTGCGGCCGTTTTATTGTGGCAACACTCGCTTTTTTCAGTTTGAAATCAAATATAAAAATAATATTGGCGTGCCATTCGAAAGATCCGAGTTCGAATCATTTAAAAAGAAAAGGTTTTATTACAAAACAATTCCATCGATTCGCCAACAGTTAGTGAGTGGCGAAACGAACGAAATCAGTGAGCTACAGCCAAGGCATATCGAACAGGTAAAAGCATTAGAGCAAAAAAAACACTGTTGCCAACTTAGTGCTTTTCGCGCTAAATTTAGTGCTTTTCTTAATTCAAAACGCGAAAATTTTTGAGTTTGGTGCTTGTTGCATTTTTAGTTGTTTTTTTTTTTTTGTTGGAAGCCACCAAACCTGTAAATCTAAAACAAAAATTTAAGTTAAATTTAGAGCAATTGGAAGTATCGTAAGGAACTTTACAAAAATGGAAACAAAATCGTGGCACAATGACAATCATAAGCGAAAGAGCATATCGCCACTACACACGAATAAAGGCGCGCTAGTGTTTTGACGGCGAAAAAAGACGTTTAAAAAAAATCTTAAGAAAAAATACGCTTAAGGAAAACTTCGGCGAAGAAAGTCGCGTAAACATAGATTTGTACCTGGCCATGGACTGTCCCTTCAGCATTATTCACTAAAAACTCTTTGGGAAATTTACATACTGTTGCACCCGCAAACATAGTCGACCGCGAAAATGAGTATACGAGTCTAAGATTAAAATGAATAAGAAAATTTTTAAAAATTAATCATCGAACAGGCAGTTTTTTTTTGCACAAAAAGAGAAATCAAGTTTGGCTGTTTCAGGTGTGAAGCGGTCGGAAAGAAAAGTTCTTTACGTTCCCTTAGTTCACGAGATTATAAGAGACTACAGTGTAGATTTAAACTTCCACATAGTTCATGAAACTTCGTTTTTTGTTGTTACTTTCGTTTGATAGGAATTGTAGAAAAAATTAAGCAAAACGAAGAAAACTTAATATTTAAACAGCGCAAATCTAGGCGACACAGCAACGCTGGACACAGCTGAAAATTCAAAACTTGGCAACACTGAAAAAAAAAACATGTGCGTGAATTTTGTTATTGCTTCTGGTATGAAAATTTCAAAAACAGTTTTTTCTTCTAAATCAAAGCGTGTCATGTGAAACAAAAAAATATATAAAAAATTCAAAGTGTAAAAAATAAAAATTGTTGTAACTTTCTTTCTTAGTAAATTAGTTTGCTTCTCGAAGCATTGACCCATCCTTTGCAAGGCCCAGTAATCGGCGGTTGTGCTGATGATTTGGGCGAACCATCCCAAAACAAACTGCTACTCAATGGCTTGTTTTGTATGAAGAAAGGTTTATCATGCAAATAGGTTTTAACAATTTAGAAGTTTTGTGAGAAGAAATTAAAAATATTTGACATTTTTGATACCAAATGATCAAAAAAAAAAATCAAATCAGCTGCTCTACTGATGCTACCTTTCAATGTGCCTTGTGTACAACCAAACCAGCCAACTTTGTTGTAAAAGTGTGTTTGCATTGTTCAACTTTGCGTTCAACATTTGCGTTCAACTCAGCGCAGGGTTGCACGAAAAAAAGTTGAATGGCTAAAAATATCAAAATATGAAAAAACATCAAAATATTCGCCATAAAAAGGTGTTTGCATTGTTCACCTTTGCATCCAACTTTTGGTTGAATGGCCTTTCAACTAATTGCTTTCAACAAAGTTGGTCGCCAGCCAACATTTAGCCATTCAACTTTTTTTTCGTGCAACCCTGCGTTGCGTTGAACGCAAAGTTGAACAATGCAAACACTGCTTTACTTCCACATGCAAAATTTTTCGTTAAGCGAGTAGAACTCAAATATAGCGAGCAGAAAAGTAGCGAATCGAAGGCGGCTGTTATTTTATTGTTAATTTTAAGATTCGATGATCCGTATATCCGGTTAAGATCCGTTCATTTTGTTATCCGGATATTCGGGTTCCGAATATCCACATATTAGGATTTTTTAATCATATATTCAAATTTTCGAATTATCCGGCAAGTCAAAAAATCTAGAAATAACTCCCTAACCCAAGTATGTATGTATACCAAAGAAAATCAGAAACTTACCATCATATCTTGAGGAATATAGAAATCCGACACTGCCGCCGCTAAATACAACAATGCACGCTCTTCAAATGCCGCCAAACATTCACACGCAGCGCGCAGCAGCCACAAGTAGTCCGCAACTGTATTAAAGCTAATATATAAAATCATTTGTGATTCGCGCGCTTGCTTATATTTGGCTAATATTGGTGCGAATACATCAACTGAATCCGGTTTCACTGTTATTGCAGTACTCTGTCCGTTATCGGTAATGTCGAGCATATCGAAAAATTGTTGGCCCGTAAAGTGGCGAGTGAATGGCTCCAAAGACTTGACGCGATACATAAATATGACGGCATAATCATGGTCAAGGAAATATTCAGCAGATGCTGAGCCGCGTGTGCCGGCACTAAAATTGTCTACAAATCTTACGGTATTGTGCTCCAGAGGTACTGTGGTGCCACCTGACTGCAATTAGAAATGCAAAAGGAAAATATAAAGTTAGTGAAAATCCATCAAACCGATTTATGTACAAATATACAACAATAAGTGAATAGGTGCATATCTCGCTAGATCTAATTATGCAAAGCAATTTTTCTGTAAATTTGGTCACACTATAAATTTATTAAAAAGTGTCTGATATGTAAATTAACAAATTAAAATTCATAACTAAATTTTTTTTTTTTGATTTCGCTAAAGGTGTTCAGCAAGTTACGTATACACAATACTCGAATGATAACGAGAGTAGGATATATGTATGTATATTAGGGTGGTCCTTAAATGTGGGAAGCAAATGTTTGCATCAGATTTCCTAAGCCTCAACCCCTACGTCGATTCTTCTATAGTCGAAGATATCACATATAAATTTGGGCCCTCATTGGAAACGGCTAAGGCGTGGCGCACAGGTGGCAAAGTACAGACTACCCTATGAAGACGTCTTAACCGACTCCAAACGGGACCAAAATTTATAAGTGATATCCTCGACTTTAGTGCCATCGATTTTGGGTATGAAATGAAAAATATATTTTTAATTTTTTTAATCCGGCCTTTGAACCCTTTGCGACATGCCTTAACCGACTCCAATCGGGACCAAAATTTATATGTGATATCTGTGACCGTGTTATTACCAATTGAGGGGCTGAGACTGAAAAAATCGTTCATTTGATTTTTTAAGGACCACCCTAATGCATATATGTACATACATATGGCGATTTCCATAATTTCGGACGTTACATTCGTACGACTTTAGAATTAAATAAATTATACGAAAACGCAATACGCATTTATAAAAAGAAATGTGGCGTTGTGTAGCTTTTATACCGTCCTTTGGTTGGAAAAAAAAAAACTTAGGTGCGCCTGGAACACTGGTGTCAGGAAAATCAACGAAAAGTAGGTCATAACGGACGTGATAAAAACAGAAATGGTTTCAGAGTACATGTAAAAATAAACAAACGTCAGTGAATCCTGTGAGGTTTTCCTTTGTTAAACATTTTTTTTAAATACAGTCAAATTACGGACCCTTACAACCAATTCATTTTTAACCAGAAGCAGTTCGTTGCTGGTTTAATTTTCAAATAAAATGTGATAACAGAAGTGACGTATCGGACGTGACAGATTTTTCCTTTATACAACATTTTTACTATAACAAATATTAAGTTTAATTTTTTTTAATTGTTTCCTAACCTTTTTCGCCATCTGACATCTTACATTTTTATGGAAACACCCAAATGCATGCGTGAATGCTTGTACATTAGGGTGGTCCAAAAACAGTAAAGTAGGAATTGTAGTGCTCTCACCCCTAGGATTGTTCTATATCGAAAATAAGTATACCCCCATTTTTTTTATTTTGAATTCAAAAAATATTTAGAGGTTGCTTAAACTGCTCAAAGTTTTCCATGTATTTTTATATGGAAAAAAATAAATTGTTCGTAGAAATGGCATAGAATTCTTGAAAATCAATATTTTTTGATCGGAAACCCCTGGTTCTCTTCAGGAGACTTTGAATAATAATACCCAATTGTTTATTTAACCATTTTTTAATACTAACGATTTTTTATTGGTCGCCCTATTGCATTTTTCGGGGTTTTTTGTGGGTTTTTGGCGGACATATAAATTATAGTTGCGATGAAAAAATGGTTAAATAAACAATTGGGAATCTCCTGCTGATAAACAGAGTTTTGTGGTAGAAAAATGTTGATTTTTAACTATTCTATACGCTTTGAGCGACCTCTAAATATTTTTGGATTTCAAAATAAAAAAATAAGGATATATTTTTTTTAGTATAGAACAATTCTAGGGGGTGAGAGCATAAAATTCCGACTTTACTTTTCCACATGCATTTTTGGACCACCCTATTGTACACACGTACATATTATCATTACTAGACTTTCACAATTAGTTGAGGTCGTAACATTGATAAACATTTCATCTGTCCTATTCTAATTATTTCATACGCGTTTTGCTGGTAAAAACATATAAACATTATCCTAATATTAGGTAAGTCAGCATCTCTGTTTGATTGTTTGCAAACATGGATTTTCGATAAATACAGAATAGGCTTTTATGCACACAGAGGTATGTACATTAAGGCGGATCACGAAAAAAAAGCTTGGCATGTGTCAGTTTTATTTTAAAATTTTTGTAGGCACCCGCTAAAAATCGCTAAATTGCGTTTTTTTTATAATCAGCCAAAACGAATTGAGATAGATATAGACAAATGTATACATAAATGCTCAGAATGAAAAAAGAAATCGATTAAGCGGTGGCTGTCTGTCCATCCGTCCGTCTGTGCACACGATAACTCGAGTAAAAATTGAGGTATCTTAACGAAACTTGGTACGTGTACTTGTTTTGGGCGTGGAACAGACGGTATTAAAAATGGGCAAAATCGGCGAATAACCACGCCTACCTCCCATATAACGGTAGTCTTCAGAATTACGAAAACTGCGATATTTCAGTAACTACTAAAGCTTATTCACTCAAAATTGTTATTTACAATGATTTTTAGGCTAAAAATAAGATTATTATAAATTTGTGAGAAATGGGCGTAGCCACGCCCCCTTATTATTACATGTCTATATCTTGGGAACCGCTCCACCAATTTCTCCCAAACTTGGCACAGTTTTTGCTCTTGGTTAAACATACAAAACGGCTGAAAATTTTTAAAACCGGACAATGACCACGCACACGTTGGGATGTTATATGGGTATAACGGTAAATATGAAATTTTCAATAAATCGGTAAATACTGAAGCTAGTTTATTCAAAATTTACGTTTGCAATAATTCTTGAACAAAAGTTACGTTTATAACAAAGTTTGAAAAATGGGCGTGGCACCGTCCACTTATGATCACATATATATATATCTCGATAACCATTCGATCAATTTGTACCAAACTCGGTACAATTATTGTACGCGACACGTAAAAGTAAGACTTTGCAAATTTTTGAAATTTAATTTAAAATTACGCCCACTTTTAGTATAAGGGTAAATTTCAGATATGCTTGAACCTTAGATATTTCGAAATTTAAGCACGCTAATTTACTCAAAATTGATACTAACAACAATCCCTTGAAAAGAAGTAACATTATTTGGAATTGTGGAAAATGGGCGTGATATCGCCCACATATGACTATATAAGTTTATCTCATTAAGTCTCACTGAACACCACCCTTACTTACCATGTAACGGTAGTCTTCGGAAAGGTGAAATAACTATATTTAATACTTGCGCCGGATATTTAATATTCGTCTTCGCGCGAACTTAGACTTTTTTATTTGTTTGCTATAACTTTCTTATTTGATATTCGATTTTTAAAATGTTTATATTGCTGAAAAGGCCTCGCTCAGGACTATAATATCCCATTAAAAAATGTTGGTTCAAAAAACCGTTTTAATTTATACCTTCATTCATTTGGGAAATACTGTCCCTAGATCATAGCGGTTTTTAAACCCGAAATTTATTAATATATAAAGATTTTGAAAATCGGATATCAAATAAGAAAGTTATAGCAAAAAATGCGATCTAGCGGTTTTTAGCGGGTGCTTAAAAAACTTTTAGACCCAACATTTTTTTTCAACATAAGTGTTTAAATAAAACTGACACAGGTTTTTTTTGTTTCATATATATGTCGTGATACGGCTTAATGGACATGCACGCACATGCACATTTACACTCTAACTTGCTTTTGAGGAGTATCTAATCAAAATATGTATGATAGATATTTCCACTTCCGGTATTTATTTTATGTTTTCGCATTTATGTATATTATCTCAGGTGAGATACATCTGAAAAAAATACCTACTGCACTTCAAAACATGGTTATTAAGTCTTTTAAAACTAATAAAATACTTTCTAATTAGGGATGCGACGGATAGAGATTTTGCCAGATGACCGGATTCCGGATACCATGTAAAAAATAAGAGCTGGATTCGGTTATCCGATCGGATATCCGGTAGGCTGCTGCCCTTTATAAATTTCACAACATTGTTACAATGCGTAATTAAGAATAGAAAATTTATTCTCTGAAATCCAAGTTATAAAATAATTCTGTACTAAAAATATGACTTTTCCGTCGGCAACCCTAATTTATAGATTACACGGGCCTGCGAAAGTTAATTTTTTTTATTTTTTGAATATCTCGCTGCGTTAAATTTAAATATATACTTGGCCTTTTTTAGCACGTCGAGTTTTTTTTTATCGGTGACATACATATATATTTTAGAACTTTTAGTAATTTGCGTTAAAAGCCAAAAATTAATAAATTCAGAATTGAATCTTTACTTAAAAACCAACAGTATTAGTTAAAAATACCCATAAATAGACTAAGTAAATTAGAAAAACTTATGTAATTTCGACGCTATAAAAATTGATAAAAATTATTTTTTTTAGCGTTAACGCGCATTACTAGCGTTAACTTCGAATTTACTTAAGTTTTTCTGATTTAATTAGGCTATTTTTTTTTTATTAACGCTCGGATCTAACACTGAATTGGATTCGAAAGATACAAAAAAATAAATTTCTGAGCTAGATTTTTAAATTGAATAATCTATGATAGACATCCGGAAATCCGACCGGATTTAAGCTAGTATCCGTCCGGATTCCGGATATCTACCGGATACCCACCCAGCACATCCCTATTTCTAATCATTGAAAAATCACATTTAAAAAAGTACAGTTTTTCCTCTAAAATAATTTGCTATAGAAATAACTTCGTTTGATTAGACACTCCTTATTTGACCGATATACATATGTACATATATGTAAATGTATACTACTTACCGTGACAAGGACGATACGGTTTTTCAGTTTATTGTGTCGTTCACAAAACTCTTTCAATAACGAGCGATTATCTTCAAAATCCGTTGGCGGTAAATGAGTATTATAAAAGTCCTCCCAATGCGTCATGTTGATAAGGTGTATTTGAACGAATATGAACGTTGCGACAAGTTGCTAATTTAATTGATGGAGAATTTTTTTATGTTTTTTGAATTGGTTGATTTTGATTTAGATTTTGATTGGATGTTCATTGAATTAAATAAAGTGTAAGCGTATTAGCATTCAAAACTCTCTGTCGGAAATTAAAATTTGAACGATATTATTCTTATGCGAGTTGCAGTGAGTATTTTCGCTTTTGACTATGCGAGCGGAAATAAAGGAACTTTTTACTTAGCTGTAAGGAAAGAATAAAAAAAACAATTATTACTAAGGTGCCAATAATGTACTTGGGGAAGGGAATAGTGCATCAAGTTTATACATACATACATACATACACATGTGCAAAGTACAGTAGCTGCCTCATAATTTATATATATTCGATGCAGGAATTTTATTACACCGTACGATTGTAAATTTTACACACACAAAACATCAATATATTCGCGAAACTATGGGTAAATTGTAGTAAAGCTGCGTACTTTGTTTTTCTCTCTGACGTCAGGATTTTTTTAATGTAAAAAATATGCTTATTTCAAAAAATTATTTAAAACATTCGGTGCAATACAATAGGTAAACAATAAGCATATCATATCAAAGAAAAAATTCTGTAGAATTATAAAAGAATCAATTTTTTGGTGCATAAGGACGAATGGCTATGGAAAATTTCCTTTACAAATTTTGTGCTTAAATAGCCCAGAAAATTTTCAATATATATTTTTTTTATTATTATTGTTTGAGGGCAAATATACGCACGACCTCACCGTCGAATTTCGTCGTGCAAACTATATTAACTTAGAAAGAAAAAATTTATTAAAAGCACATTTTCAATACTTATTCGTCCTTGTAAACCATAAAAATAATTTTTTGAATTAATCACATCTTTAAAAGCCCTCTGAAAAAAAATCCTGACTCACTTTGGCGAAAAATTAAAAACGCAGTTTTACTACATTAGTTTCGTGAGTATATCGATTCTTTCGTGTAATATATTAATATTATTACTAATGTTATGCATGTACTTATGTATATGTAAGCATCGATCCCTTTGTGCGAAATTATCCTATGTGCCATAAACCCAATTTTACAAGAGAGCATTTTTTTTTATTTTCAAAATTTATTTTCTGCCACCTGTACGTAATCAAATCGTTTAATAAATTTTTAACGAACTTCCTGATAAGCTGGAGACTTGAAACTTCTAACTTGATTTTTAAGTCCGCTAGGTGGCGCAGGTGGGTCAGATATGGTTCATATTTAAAATGTATATTACTCAGATTCTTCAACATCTCGATCATTTGCGCCCATGCCCCGACGAAAGAGAAGGACGAGACCTCCAAGGATCTCTTCCATGAGCGCTTGGAACACACATACGAGCGCTGCCCCGCCATGATGACAAAATCGTGCTTGGCGACTTCAATGCCAAGGTGGGCAGAAAACCGCGATCTTTGGCGCCACTGTCGGAAAATCAGCTGGCACGACGAAACGTCCGACAACGGACTGAAGCTGATCGACTTCGCCGGGGCCTGAAAAATTTTAGTAATTGTTGTGTGCAGTACTAGGTTCAAGCATAAAAAGATCCATCAAGCTACGTGACTGATCAGGTTGTGATCAGTGTTGCTAGAACTTTTTGGGCCGACCGGCTGAATTGGCCGAAAAAACGGCTAAAATGTTTTTGCTAAATTTAACATGTTTTATTTGAATAAAGTTGAAAGACTAATAAATTCATTAAATTATTTTTAGTTAACAAAGGCAACTGTCGTTATAATTGATTAATTAAAGCTCTACATCGGAATACATGTTTTATTACTTACATAAATATAAAAAGTAGATCAATTACAAACTTATGGCGTTTTTTTTTCACTGAAAAATTTGTAACATTTGCACAAGGTTCGTCCTGCAAAATGGCTATATTAGTAGAAAGTATTGCATTTTTGCTTGCTCGGAGGGCAATATTTTGTTAAATGAACATGAAAAGCTGTAAAAAAGGCTGAGAAAAAAAATAGGGCAACATTATTTCGAGAAAAAAAGCCAGTAATTTATATTGAACAAGCCGGTCGGTTTTTAGGTTTTTAACAATTAAACTATGTAATTTTATTTTGATGTCCATCTATTCGAAGCGTTCCCGTTTTTAAAGACCTGCTCACTCACTGCGCATGCGTGTTCAGAGCAACACTAAAGGATATTAGTAGTACTAATTTAGTACTACGATACAATTATTCATAGATATTGTCTTCCCAGAGAGTTTTGCTTCACATGGAAATTCGTGCTCTTTTATTCTCATCCGTTTTTTTTCCAAGTGTTGCGAATAAAACTTCACATTAAAATTTAAGACATTCATAACAAAAATTTTATGAAAAAATCCCCGTTACGTTCTTTGGAAAAAATACAGTGACCCAAAATAGAAAAAAAAATATGGTGTGCATTTCTGTTCTATTAAATTCTAGTTTGATGAGATGCAAATTTTTTTGCTATACAAAGTATGCTCGACAAGTTTTTTTATATGAACAAGTAATTTTTAAGCAAAAAACAAAACCGACTTCAATTCTCATATAAAAATTTAAGACTATCGTCAATTTCTTCATGATCCAATCATCGGATTTAAACCAAATTAGTATGGGACCACCTCTGAAGTACCACCTTTCCTTAACATACATTAAAAAAAATATTCCGACGAATTGATAACCTCCTTCTTTTTTTGAAGTCGGTTAAAATAAGTGGACTTTAACTGCTGATGGTTTACTACTTTATGGCTTATTACAAAAACAAAATTAATGCAGCCGATTTTGTTTCCATATTACATCGGAATGGGTTGGCCGAATTTAATGTTTATCACATGCACACGGTGCTAAAGGAATACACTTTTGTTTAAAAGTACTTTTATTATTTAATATTAACTAACAGAAAGAAGAATTCTACTTAGAAGAATTCTACTTGGCCGAAAGCACAATTAACGTTATATATCCTTGGCGGCGCCCTCTTGTCAGGTCAAGTTACCATCTCCAAACAAGCGAAAACGCAAGTAAAGATTATTATTTTTGACCATTTGGGGAGATTACGATAACCGTGGCGAAAATTTTTGACTCTGCCATTGGAAAGCGGGGCTTCTCCGCTGTTCAAATATACTTACGTTTAAGGATCGGGGCTTTCTAGTTTTCAAGAAATTCAGCGTTGAAAGATATTTTTCAGATTTTTTTTAAATATTAATATCTTATGAACGACATAACCGATTAAAAACAGAAATGTGTCAAAATAAAGATAATTAATTTATCTTTCAGTTCATGTACCTAATTTATACGACATGGATATAGTGCAGCGAATTAAAATACAGCGGCTCCGCTGGCTTGGACGGACCCCAACGCTCTAGCTCTGAAAGTATTCAACTCGGACCCCGCTGGTGGTAGCAGAGGAAGAGGAAGGCCTGCATTGAGATGGAAAGACCAGGTGGAGAAGGACTTGGCTTCACTTGGCATTTTCAATTGGCGCCAGTTGGCACAGAAAAGAAACGACTGGCGTGCTTTGTTGAATTCGGCCAAAATCGCTTAGGCGGTTACAGCGCCAAATAAGAAGAAGAAGAAGAAGAGGGTTATAATCCCTAAGCGCGGCCGAAGGCCGCCTACGCAGAAAGCTGTTCCACCCCTTTTCTTTCGCAACACCAGAAAAGAGAATTCTACCTAGAGACGGTTATACTCCCTAAGTGCGGCCAAAGGCCGCCTACGCAGACAGGTATTCTCTGCAAAGGGTGTTCAGCCCCTATTCTTTCGCAACATAGAAAGGAGAATTCTACTTTGTGAGAGTTATAATCCCTCTACGGACAAAGAACGTAAATCTATAAGAAGAGACAACAGGTTATAATTGTAACGAGTACGAGTGGGAACATCAGGAGCGTGCTTTCTCTTTTGTCCAAATACGTTTTGTGATTGGATCAAAAGAGAAGGCGCGCTCCTGATGTTCGCACTCGCTACAATTATAACCAGTGTTGCCAGAAGTTTTTGGATGAACCGGCTAAATTGGCAAATAAAACCGGCTAAAAACGGCTAAAATGTTTCAACTAAATTTCACATGTTTTATTTAAATAAATCACGAGTAAAAAGACTATTTCTTGGAGAGAAGTTGCAAATTCGAGCCGAAAAAAATTTTGCCAGCAAGAATTTGCAATTAGGAAAAAGATATGATTGTGGCACATGGTTGGATTTTTCGTGGACGATAATTTGAATAAACAAGTTCGTTAAATTTAAAAATTTACCAACTGGAGCGATTTTAAAATGAAAAATGTAAGTTAATACTTGTTTACTTAATTAATTTAGTTAATTCCAATGATTTGAAAGGTACTCGGAAAAACAACTATTTATTACTATTACTATCTGATATTTTGAGTGATAATTCTCGCTGCATTTTCGACGAACAAACCTATTATCTTCCCTAAAAGGCCTTTTCAGACTGACCGATTCTCAATACACTCAAATAGAAACCAATACACATAAAAAACGCTGTAAAAATTTGCCTTCAATTTTAAGGCAGTAAAACAACGACCTTAAGTTAACATCAACCGAGGCCATATGTTGACAAGGGATGCAAAATCACAGTTACACAAAAGAACTGGTCAGATTTTTCAGAAATCCCTTCCATTCTGATGTAAAATATGATGCTAAAAGACTGAAGATCTCCCATTTAGATGACCGGTCATATGGCCGGAAGATGTCTCGTAGAATTCCCAGCGAGTTTTGCTTTACATAAAAATTTGTGCTCTTTTATTTTCATTTTGATTCACTTCAGTGTTGGTTCCTTTAATTCAAGTTGGCATTCGGTTTTTGGAATTTGAATAAGTTCTCAGCAAAAACGTTTGCTTAAAAAAATACATATGTGTACATAGTGCTTGAAAATATCAATTTTTCCATTACCTTAAACCTTTGGGAGTGGGCAAAAATTATGTTTTTTAATTTAGGCAGTATTCAATATGCGCTATCTGGGAAGACAATATCTACATGTAATATTTATTCTGTTTGTTGGCACTATATCCAAACACAAACGCATCTTAAGAGTCTTAACAGTGAAACAATTTCTTATTTTCTAAGTTGGCGAATAAAACTTCACACTTAAAATTAAGACATACAAACATTTTATGAAGAAAATCCCTTCTTCGTTTAAAATAAAAATAAGCGAAATCGGCCCAATTTCATACAATCCTGCCTGACATGAAAATTTTCTCCACGATAAGGCTAGTAGCCATTTCTAACAGATTTTGGGTCGCTTAGTCAAAAATGGAAACATATATACATATTTGAAATTTAAGAAAATAAGGCAAATAGCAAAATCGGCTAAAAACGGCTAATTTTTTTCAGCAAAACGGCTAACAAATCGGCTGCCGGCTAAATCGAAATTTCTCCGGCTGTTTGCTATCGCAACCGGCTAAATCTAGCCGGAAAACGGCTAAAATGGCAACAATGATTATAACGTGTTGTCTCCGCTTATAGATTTACGTTCTTTGGTACGGACTGAAGACATGATGTTGTATATCAAATGAAAGCTTGTTTTATATCCTATTGGATTATGAAATGTTTGAGTATGTTTAATAAGGCAATTTCTAAATAACCGATTGAAAATTTTGAAATCCGTGCGTTTGTTTTCAAGATATTTGGATTAGAAAAAATTATGAGTTTAACCTTTGACCCTTGGTAACTTTTTGTTTTTGTTTCCCATAAAAAAAAAATATACCATTATACTTGATTCAAAAACCTCTATCGACGTCCTTGTTCAAAATTTGTCGCCCCGGTTATCGTAACCGTGCCGACCATTTTTGTAAAGGCTCCCTAGAGACCTATAAGGGGTCTAAGCATTTGGGAGTTAAATTTTTGAAAATAGCAGTTCATGCCCTCCCTAAAATGGGGGTTGCAGGAAAAGTTCTCCAATAATGGACCAGGCATTGAATAAAAATCTGAAATTCCCCTTCTCCGGAGGCTTTAGCTTTTAAGCAATTCGTTGTTAAAGTTGCCAAAAAAAAAGTCGAATTTAACCTCACATTTTCTTTTGTACATCGAGTGAACTCAAATTGCGGTGCTGCCATACATCACAAAAAAATGTGCAAAAATAGGTACTGAGAAGGGAATCGATAGTTGCATTCCAGGTGCTTCACGATTTGCAGGTTTTTACAGGAAGTCGCTCCAGGTGACTACCTTGCATAAGATTTATTAAAGGAGAAAAGAGCTGTTCCTGCAAATCCTGCAAAACCTGGGCATGAATCACGTAACTTTGAAACGATAGTCGTTCAAACGATACTGACAAAAAGATGTTGCCAAAACACTGATTTATGCATTTGTGTTGCTGTTACGTGTTAATGTTACTGTTACGTGAAGCAAAACTGGAATCGAGTTGACGATATCGCCCAAACGATCAAACAATTTTTGATTTTTATGAAGCAAGACAATCTCGACACGATATCGTTCAGATTTTGGCTAAAAAGAACTATTAATATTTTCGACGATCCGGTATCTTATTCATGGCGGCCATCGCTCAACAATGCTGTGTTTAAGATTGTTTGTGAATAGAAACATATTTGAAGAACCCTTTTATAAGCATTATTGGTTAAATATTAAGTAAAAAAATGATGTGCATTCATTTGTTTATGAAGAAAAGATGGTCTATTAATAAAAAAGAAAGTGTTCATAAACAAACAATTGTGAAGCAGTGCGGAAATTTTAACAACGAATAACTTAAAAACTATTAGCATTTGTGCACAAAATGTTGATGATATCGGTCAATGGGCATCTCCACAACACCCCCTGCGAGTTTCATTAAAAAATTCGTAATACTTTGGGTGATATAGGAAATCTCAGTCAAAAATTATAGGTGCGTTCGTTTAAAATCTCTAGTAGAAACCAACTAACTACCAAATTCCGGCGAAATGTCATCTGTTCTCTCACAAGAGAAAAATATCCCAAATAGTACGCGAACAGAAAATTTGGAGAAACTTGCAAGTCAGACGAACACCTGATATAATTTTTGTTTACATTCAAAAGTATAAAATTTAAAACGTACGAAAAGTCATCACAAAGTGTTATACTGACACAGTTTATTGATTAAACAAATAACTACTTATTTCTTACAAGTTTAATTAGTCGCATTTTGTAATTTTTAACTTCCAAACCATCAAATTAAATTTTGTGATTTGCGTAAATGCCAATCAGCTGTTTTTGATCAGCTGTTTTCCTGTTGGCAAAAATTTTTCCAGCAGAAACCAGCAGCTTTCTCTCAAAATGAAATGAGTTGTCACTTTGCTCTCTCAATTTCCCCTACTTTGCAAGTTTTTTGCGTACGCGAACGCAAAAACTTGTAAGTTTTGTTTAAACATGAACAATTAACAGCTACGCGAACGCAACTTATGTTAACCCATGTTAAAAGTTAGAGTCTGATTATGGCAACTTAACGTAAACTTATCGTAACTTAATGACACGTCGAATGTTTCATTTTGATTCTTACTTGCTGCCTTCACAGGCAAAAGTTTTTATCCTGATAATGTTACCAGGCAAATTTTGCCAAGGAAGACTGCATATTGCTCTTGGCATGCAATAATTAGCAGAGCTTTTATCTTGATAAATATTGCCAGCAATTCGATACTTTGACAGCTACATTTTCATTTGCGCGATAGCTTCGTGGAGACAACATTATTGATATTTCAATATATGTAAAAGCAAAAATTGAGCTGTTTTCTATACAAATATTTTTTATTATTTGCTTGGGTTTGAAATAGCATATTTTTTTAATTTTTTAAGTGATGAAATCCGGCAAAAATAGCCATCTTACAAATGCTTTTATCAAGATAAAAAACGCCTCTGATAAAATTTTTATCAGGCAATAAAAACTACAGTTGGTAGGCTAAATCTTTTGCCTGTGGAGACGGGCCGTTATAGGCCCTTTAGAATGGGTACTTGTACGTCAATAATGGAAAAGTATGTGAAGGTAGTGGCGTACGTAACGCAGAGATACGCCACAATGAAGGTGTTGCGCCTGTAAACAAAAATCATCTGTTCCTTATGGCCGCGTACTTGGGGTTTATACAAGTCAATTTTGCAGATACAATAACAAAACATTCACACTTTTTTTCTAATATATTTACCCAAACAACGAGACATATTCTCAATTTTCTTGTCTTGTGTAAACGCAAGGTTATACAACTGTCAGCAGTGACGGACTTATATGCGTCAAAAGTTGAGTGTTGGCCAACATTCGTTGGGTCCGTCGACGCAAGGGTTGCCAATCTAACGATCTCTGTATGTGTCTCCCTACAGGAATTGTGCGATGGAAACGTAACACATTATCATTTATCTTACTACCACATTTGCAAATTTTGCGTTGTTTAAAAAGAGACCACTAAATAAGGCCATAAGTTGGAGGAAGACGGAAGATCACATGTACACAAATGTTAACATCACGTTTAGCATATTGGTCTTAAAAAGTTGATAGAAGTGCTCGCTTATCTCCATCACCAGTGATTATCACATGATCGATCAAATGACTATCACTGTTATTGTAGGGATGCAGTCTACTCAACTGTCAACTGTTAAGTTGCGATCCCGCACGAGTCCTGACTAGTCAGATTTTACTGGAAATCGATCCCGTACTCGGTTCTCTGACTATTGAGAGGACAAAAAAGAGAATAAATACGGTTCTCTCTCTGTCAGAAGTGACCAGTTTTAGTCCGAGAATTTTTTGCTGGTAAATTCTGGTAAATGTGTCAAACGATCAGCTGTAGTGTGTTTGGCAACCAAATTGTAAACAAAAGAAAAGTGCACTCTGCTAATTCATGTTGAAAAGTATTTAATTACTTGTTCTAAATATTTTTGGTTATTTACATGTGTGAGCTGAGTGTGTTTACATACAGAATAAGCAAAAACTTACAACCAAAATTTTGAGGTTATGTTGAAGTTGACAGAAGTTACCATTTTTTACTAGAAAGCGATCCCGTACTTTTCAATGTTACTCTCTCGCTCTGAGCGAATTTTTATTTTTTGACAGTTTTACTAGTCCGAGTAAGAGGAATACGGGATTGCACCTTTAATAATCATCATATTAATCAGAAATTTAAAAAACTATCGTATCTAATATCGCGATATAAAAAAAAAACGTTTCAGCACTGATAGTTCTGGGAAAGCATTGAAAATACTATAATGTCGGCTATACTAACAATCATTTAATAAAACAGATTTGCTTAATATTACGTGTATACATGTATTCATATGTATACATATGTATGTACATATGTATTCATATGTATACATATGTATGTACATATGTGTCATACGTACATACACTCGCTGATTTGTTCAATTGTGCTAGCAAGGTAAGTAGGTACTAACCAGATGATAGGCGCGAGCAGGAACAGATTTATAATAAAAATGAATAAAAGCTGCTAAAAATTACTTCAAAATAAATAATTCATCAATTAACACGCGACTACATAACACAGAACTATTAGTTTTCGACAATTCCAGTGGTGTCTTAAATTATTAGTCGCGTATCACGAGCTCTCCCCCCGTAGCGAACGCGCACGTACACAAAGGCGAGAAATCTATTTCACTTTCGTTGTTAAACTGTGAAGAATTCCGATACATTTATCTTGTAAACTGATTTACGTTCGACCTGTGATGTGTTCAATAAAACTCTGATTGCACTCCATGTCTAATGTCCAACAAGAATTTGACGGAAATCACACAAGCGCAGTGCAATTCTTTCTACCCAAAGGCGAATTTATACAAGGTGGTGTTATCGGGTCCGCTGATTTCACGGCAAATTTGTATTATACAAGGTGGTGTTGTAAAATCAGCTGATTTCGTCGCCTTACATGTATTTTGTTTTTGCTTTACTGATTTGACAGCACAGCCATCAAAAGCAAAAACAAAATACATGTAAACTTTGGAGCGAACTGAGATTTGACATAACACCCTCCATACAAAATACATGTGGTTGTCGTTGTTATAATCTAAATTCGCCAGTAACACCACTTTGTATAAATACGCCTTGCCTTTTATCAAAATCAAGGCGACTGTAATATGAATTCGCCTTGTTTACAACAAACTCATCATTTTGACATTACGAAGTACTGCGGCGAAAATCTAAATTCGCCGTTAACTTCACCTTGTGTAAACGCGCCGTAAGTGACAGGGTGCTGCCCAAGACGAATTTATGCAAGCTGGTGTACAGCGTTGATATTTTAAGTTAGTTTACTTTTTTCAGTAAAATTATTTCATTCCAAAAGTACTTGTTGTACCAAATTCTGAAATATTTGCCACTTTGATTATTAATCCGTTTGCGTTTAAGTAAATGGACATACCTACATTTCATGTTTGGTACGAAACGAAATTCGGAATTGTAATGTTGAAAGTAAATGGAAAATAAATATTAATATTAGTGTTGACAAAGAACATAGATAGCAAGAAGGGAAAACTCGATGTAATTGTAGCGAATGTGAGCAACAGGGGTGTGCCTTCTTTTTTGCCCTAGTATGTTTTTTGATTGGATGAAAAGAGAAGGCATGCCCTGTTGCGCACTTACGCTACAATTATAACGAGTTGTCCCTTCTTGTTATCTACGTTCTTTGGTCTTGAGCGTTGTGGTTACTGCGTTTTTTTTTAAGAACCGATGGGTGAAATAACCCTTTTCTCTATTTACTTTGAAAAAATTTTTGAAAATGCAGTTTACCTAATGACGATCCTGAAGAAAATGAAGGAGTTGAATAACTCAGGGGTTCAATGTAAAAAATTCTACGTGAATTTCATGCGTTAAAACTAAAAATTTCTACTTTCTATATAGTAACCCGGGCTGGGCTAATTTTTAATTTTTTTTGTTTTTAATATAATTTTTAAATACGATTTGAGAATTTATTTGTGGCTTTATCGGCTAGTTGGAGAAACCTCAATGATAAGTTACGTGAAATGGATTCTACATCAACTTAGCTGTACAATGAACTGAAAGATAAACCCACTCTAGTAGAAGAAAAGGTGTATGTTTAGAAGAAGGAAAACGGGATTAGTGCATTGACGGAATTGGTGAAAAGTACAATTAAGCTCAAAAGGGTAAAGTTTTTGTCGTTAATTTTGTACAATTTCAAAATCTTAAACAGCAACACTCGCGGTGTTACTGGCGAATTTATATTACAACAACAACAACCACATGTATTTTGTCGAAACTAAATTCGCCCCAAAGTTTACATGTAATTTGTTTTTGCTTTTGATGAGTGTGCTGTCTTATCAGTAAAAGCGTTTGGACGTTTTTTATGTAAAAAATGACGTTTATTAAGTTGAACTGATTTTGAACTATTTTCTTAATAAATCTTTACAAGCTTTGTGTTTCGCAGCAACTGATTCAAGAGATATATATATTCTCTGGACACAGTTGACTTAAATATGATGCATACCAAGCGTACGCGCATTGTTTTTTTTTATTCTTGGACTGAGGATCCCATGTTCAAAGGCTGGTTGTGTAAACACTTGAGGTTACGAGGCTTATTATAGTGTTTGCAATTGCACATTAATCAGGAAGAGCTGATCTCTTGCAATACGTGCTGCGCTCGCAAAAGCATCAAAAAACTGGTAGCAGCATAAGAAGTCAGAAAAAAGTCGGCGAATTTTGTATGACTTCATTGAAAATGTAATGAACGAAAAAAGGCTGAAGTATTGCTATGCTCCTTCTTAGCAGAACGTAATTTAGCATTTTCGACAACCAACCCTTACCAGATGTCTACAAGAAAAAAAATATTAAAAATCAAAGCGATTATTAGACCCTCTAAAATTGCACGCTATCGCCCTGAAATTTAATGGGCTTTCAAACTGCATACTCAAAAAAAAATCTAAAAAATAGAAAGTTGAAAATCTAGTTGAAGCTTTGCAGATTTTTTATAATTTTTGCACAAAGTTTGAAATAAGGATTTATAGTTTTTTTGTTATATAATGAGCTTGGCTTTTATGGAAAAATAGTAAACATTAAATAAACAAAAGAAAAACAGCCAAAATCGACCAAAATGGTGATGACTTAATCAGCTGATCACAAGTGTATATACAAAATGATTTTTATATTAACGATATCAAACCAGTTTACAATGAATTTTAAATATGCTCTGTCAAAATGACATTTTAATATGCCTTACGTACATATGTACCTTTGTATACAATAAGAGTTTAATAAGAAAAATTTTTTGAAAAAATTTAAAAAGACGTTTTTGGGTAGGAAATGACGTTTTTCAGACCAAGAAGGACGTTTTCTCATGCCGAAGAGCTGGCAACACTGGATCCGATAACATCATCTTCAAGGCGAATTTGTACAATTTTATAAATTCGTCTTGACCATCTTGTATAGATTCGCCCAAGGCGAATTAATATAAGGTGGTGTTACTAGCTCAGCTGATTTTGTGTATGTGTTTCGCCGCACGGCTTCTGATATCAAATTGAAAAATTTTGTTTGAATTTCTATACACACTCTTACAGATTTTGACAGTTTATGCCGCCAAAGCAAAAACAAAATACATGTAGATTTTTGTTTTTGTACTCCTGCTATCACCTTATATTAATTCGCCTTGTACAAAACTTGTACTGGCGAATTTAGATTTTCGCCGCGGTCCTTCTGAATGTCAAAATGATGTGTTTGGTGTAGTATGAATTCGCCTTGTTTACAACAAACACATCATTTTGACCGAAGCGAATTTATACAAGGTGATTTTCAAGGCGAGATTCAGTAAGCAGTCTCTAGTCACTTATAATGACTTTTCGCGGTGAACATGGATTTTGAGACTATTCGGTATTCAGTAAGCTGTCTCTAATCTCAAAATAAAGTCACACATTTGTCAGCTGGCTCTGAGCTGGTCACAAAAAGAAAGAAAGATTCTTTGATTTCTTTTTTATTAAAATCTAAAGATAATGTACAAAAATAAAACTAACAAAAAAAAAAACAAATAAAAATAAGTAAAATAAGTCTGTGCGCCCGAGGAGGATTCGAACCCGGATCTCTCGAGCGGCAGTCTAATGATCGCAACAAATTATTAAAAATCAAAGGCATTGTAATTTAAATATGAATAAGAACTTTTACCGACCGCCGTCCTTATTCATACCAACACTAATATCGCGGAAGCCCGGTGACTTTTCTACGGAACCCTCTGTCTTAAAGCTTTCAGCTACACAATTCAGCTTCACTACACATTTTTAATGAACTTTTTTAAAATAAAGAAAAATTAAAGAAACACAAAACTAGCTGTAAACAGCTAATCGATGTATTTGACTATTTAAAATATTTGGCGCGAATTTTCGTTTATCCATTTTGACAGCTGCAAGTTTCTGTTAGTAAAAAATTTACTAGCGGAAATTAGCAGGAGAGACAAAAAATTGAGAGCGTAAGACAAGGAGAGAGCAGTTAGTTTCTGCTGGTTTTTTGGGTTAAGAAACGAATTCCAGCAGAAATTAGTGATAATTTGTGATAATTAACTGTTAAGAAACAAAGCTTATATTTATGTTATAACTTGCAAGTAATGCATGCTTTCTTGTACTTTGTCAGCTTTCATTTTTTGCTCACTTTTTTTTTCCGCCAAGCAATTTTATGTGTATAACCTGTCAAAATTTTACCTAGCCCCATGAGCTACGGAAAATTTTGAAGTTCGTATTCACCACGAGAAATGTCAAAATTTACCCTTTGCTGAATACCCAAATCTCATGCCCAAATCATCTAATGTCACACAATTAGTCACTTATTTCTAGTCACAAGTTTAATGATTTCAGATAAGATTGAATTACTGAATACCAGCGCTACAGTTGGATGCACACTTATTCGTTCATAGATTGTTCCATATCTGACATGTTGTGCAACAGACCTTATTAAAACGGATTTCGAAATCCGGCAACTCATAAGAATTATTTCAGGTGTAGTATGACATTTTCCTTGCATATTTTGGAAAATTTTACGAGGTTGTAGACGAGCAAAAATTTGCCAACAATGTTTAAATAAATAGTGACAAAAGCCTTTTAAGCTTTTATTTGCATACAAAAAGGTGTATTATAGTTGTATACAAAAATTTTATCAGCTGCTGCATGCATGCAGGACTTGGCTTATCAAGAGGTGCGACGATTTCCTCTAGTATTGCATGATAGGTACACAAAAAAACTTTCCAGCTGGTGTCATTCGAGAAAATTAAAATAAAATATCTATTTGTATGGTATCGAAAAATAAACAAGTGTAATTCGATACAATTTGTACTGTCGCATAAATCGTAATTATGTTATACTAATGAAAAATGAAGCAAGTTTAATTTTCTGAAGTTGCTGTTCGCTAAACCTATTTCGTGCTGTATAGGATTAACAAAATGCCAAAATAATAATATTTCTGAATTACGTATATAGCATCTTTGCACTCTTTAATGGAACCACTGTAAAATTAAGTAAATATACTTAGGGTGATACTACATCGAGCTTACGTGCGGGTAAAAGCACAGCCTGGCTGAGCTGATTGCACTGTAACTAATCATCTGCACCCCTTCCCTTACGTGGCCAAAACTCGATAAGGTGAGTGTACAACGGTTGTGATTTGATGACGCATTCAACGCTCATAAAAAAGCAAGGCGCAGCAGCTTCAGTGTATTAGAGAGCTCCCGTTTTTTTAAGAGCAGAACTACTGTTTATCATTATCATGCTATGTTTCTAATTTTTAATATATGTTAATATATAAATGTTTATCATTATAGATAAAAATATATATATATAAAAACCAAAGAAAGCACTTGAAATGGCAGGCGTGCCTCCTATAGCACCGCTTCTGTGCAGCACTCCGCCACCAATTGATTTTGGTGAAGAGGACGACGATTCCGGTTTGCCGCCCACTTTAACACTTGAAGACGAAGATGAATACGGTGATTTCGCGTTCGCCGCAGACATAAATGAGAATGCAACAAATACTGATAGTAAGGAAATATTTGATAAAAACATTTTGATCACTAATTTTTAACACATTTAATATTTTTTATTTATTTCTAAAGTCCCCTCATTGCCACGCACGCCGCTGCAGTTCGAACTAAGCTCATCCACGACGAGTGGCTTTACCGATGTACCACCAAGTTTAGAAGAGTGTGTTAATGCACCGATAACTCCACCTCCGCTACAAACTGAACATGACGTTTGTTCAGCCCGCGAGGAAGTTAAGCTAGAACTAATCGAGGCAATTAACTACAATATTGTAAGCAGAGAAACCAATCAAGAGCGTATTAGTGACGGTATAACTAATGTGGATGAGACTAGCAATACAAATGATTCAGTAACAAGCCACCCGCAACCAGAGAAAGACAATAATTGGGTTATTCACAACTTGAGTGACACCAAAATCACAAATGAAACTTGCGCGGAATCGGAAAGTCTACCCAAGTTTGCACACACTACAGATGCTATTACAACTAAAGAAAAAAGTGGAACTAAAAATGAATCGATATTGTCTAATGAGCAGGACATTAAAGCACAACCAAATGCTATAACGATATTTTCTGAAATTCCTCCTCCTTTGACTCAACTTGTGCTGTTAGAAGATATAGCAGACGACAGTAGCGATGAGGAGTGCCATCGATCTCCAAAAAAGTCCACCATATCAACAACGTCGCCCTTTACAAGCAGTGCTGACATAAATTCGGCGGATTTCTTTGCGATCCATGTCGTTGGCGCGCCGTCGTCACCAAAAGAAGACAAACCACTGACAAAAGTGGAGGATATAAATAGAAATAGCTTGTCAAACCACGATAATAACATCACCCATGAATTTGAAAATATTACTAAGACTACGCCCTATGGCAGCGAGCAACTTAATGACGATTTCGGTGATTTCGCAGATTTCGAATCGGCAACTGAGATTACAAACCCAACAACCTGCCCAATGAAGGCAGCCGATTCGAATGTGATAACCAAGAGTGACTGCAATGATGTCAAACCCGTAGGCGAGGTAAGAGGACTAATGTTGATTTTTGAAAGCTTCAAAAATACATTGAATATTTTTAACTGTTTGCAGCTCCCTGTAGAAAGTACTACCCAAAATAATGATGATGAGAATGATTTTGATGATTTCCAAGACTTTTGTTCGGCACCAACATCAGTTTCCGATACTAAACCAATTATATCATCGCAAAATTCAGAAGGTGTAGCAGCAACATGTAATGACGGGACTAAAAAGGGTATAGCACTAAATGAAAATAGTCTTGCAACGTTGAAAATTGATTCGGAATCTCAAGCAAAAGAAGTTGAGAATAGCGACGATGACGACTTCGGCGATTTCGAAGAAGCTTCACTTGCCATACCCACTTCTGAATTCACTGCAAATACTGCTATTATGAATACACATACGCCACCTGCGACCAGTGGAAATATAAGTGACCGTATAGGTTCGGTGTTAAAACTGATGTTTCCACCTGCAGATGAAAGTGTTGACAGCGATAAAGAAAGTACAGCGCCAGACGCTCTTTCCAGTTTGCAATCACCAAACGCCACACTTCCTTTTGAGTCGATAGAAGCTGCCAAAGCCTTGGAATTCCAGTGGCCGCAGTCGGAAATACGGCATGCGCTTGTACGCTCAATAGGCATTGATTCGAGAAACATTGTAAGAATGAATAATGCAGTCATATATTATTTATGCTTATTTAATAACTACAAACTATGCTAAATAAATAAATAAATAAATAAAATTAATAACTACAAAATAATTTCTGTAGCTCTTTGGTGAGAATTGGAATCCATCAATGCCCCGTTTTGCTGCCAATCTCAGTTTTAATCCGCTAAAGCCATTGAAACCACAAACAGTCAACCCGTCAACAACAACAGCAGGCATCGACTCGGAACATTACAGCAATGGCAGTGACGTTAGCAACTACTCTATGAAAACGGATGTACCTGATGTTGAGTTTGATTGGCAAAGCGCCGGTCTAGTGAACCCACTTGACGGTAAGTTTCATCATGTAAACTGACTACTTAACTGGTGTAATTTAAAATGAATACTTACACTTAAAATTTTAACGCTATACCAAGCAAAAATCTACAGAAACGCTTCCTCTGCAAGCTATTTAAATATATTGAGCTTTATACATCTTGCGTTCTTTTTTTATTATTTCGAAACTGAATTTTGTTTTCAGTCGCTTATTTTCTGCATCATTTATTGTCTATGCGCATTTCTCCCCTGAAATCTGTAATTAAGTTTTTTTTTTTGTTTACTTGCGAAGGCTTTTAATTGCTTAATATATCTATTTATATTTACAAACTGCATGGAAAACGCTTCATATTTAACTACGGCACTGTGCTATAAAGAAAAAAATAAAGTTCGCGTGTAAAATGTGTGTAAGTTTAAAATGTTTACAGAATTTCAATGGCTTTCCTGCTGCTAGAAACAGTAATGCTTGCTTTAGTTTTTAATTAACATTTAAATATACATGTTCCTCATAACTAACTTTTTGTAAAGTGATTTATAAATCTTGCGTTTTAAAATTTACACTTCGAAGTTAATTCACAAAGGCCCTAACCAACAAAGAGGTAGAGCTTTTTAAAAAGTGGCGTGTAGTTCCGTTGTTTTTGGTACTAAAACTTAAAAATTTTTATTGAAGGTTTATTTTAATATATTCTACCAAAATCTTTAAAAAACGCAGTTTCGAAAAAAGTGTTGGTTAGGGCCTTGGTGATTTAAGGTAACGATATCGATATCTGCTAGTTCGAAAACGCCCTAGCTCAGAAACCCTTTTAAGAACACCATTCCGCAGAATTTGATTGAAGAACGCCCTGTCACAGAATTTTACTTGAAAACACCCTATCTCAAAATTTGGTTGAAAAACGCCCTATCCCAGAATTCGGATGAAAACGCCCTATCTTAGCCGAAAGTACATTGAAAATGTGCTGAGATAGGGTGTTTTTGAATCAAATACCGAACTATAGCCATCTTCAATCAAATGCTGAAGTATGGTGTTCTTCAAAAATTTTCTGAGATAGGGCGTTTTAGAACTGGCTGCTGGCGGGCGATATAGGTCGACGTTCCACTCAGGTATCGATATTTACTTTGCCGAAAAAATTTGTACTTATAAACATTAAAATTAGTAAGCAGCCAAAAAAATGAGTAACAACCTAACCGGTCCAATCTATTTGGACTTTAAAAGTTTTGTGATTGCGAAGGTCAAAGAATACAGTTTTTTAAATTTTTAAAATGTCTCTTCTTGTCTTAGGTTATGCAAATTCCTTTTTGATTCTCGTTTTAAACACCTATTGTATTTTTAGAGAGTTTTTTTTTAACAATGTGGCTCACCAGTATTTGTACAAGGCATATTATTATATGTAAATAAGAAATCTGAAAATCATGATTTCATTTATTTTTCAAAAGGTTTCAAATATAGCAGTTAAAATTTACTTGATCAAGAATATCATTGCAAATGCTCTATATTATAATGAATATTATAATGAACATATATAAAGTTTGTTTATCGAAATTGTATACTTACATTTTAACTGTTATTTTTATTGAACAAAAAGTTTTGTTTTCAATGTATAATTTTTTATTAAACATACATACAAATATCTTAATGCAAATTTACCGTGCATGTGGCACTTCAAACGTAACTTAATTGTACAGACATGCCGCTATACGGATGTATACGTACATACATGTAAATGTATATGTTTGTATGCATATCTTGCGTTCTAGGTATTTAATGCCCTTGAATGGCCGACTATTTATGCTAGAAGCAACAGTTTTTGCATAATTACTTCCAATTTTATGATCATCACTGTTATGACGCTTTAATTTTGATTGTAATTTTATTTTCTACCAAAAAAATATCAAGCAAATCTATACATGGCTGCGAATTTCAGCGTATGCATGTTTGTTTATGTTTTTTAACCTAATCTTTTTACAGTTAGCTTGGTTGAAATTCAATTAAAATATTTATGCCTTCCCCATTATTATTTTTTTTTTTGATAAACGCTTTTAATATTGTAAAAAGTATTTTTGATTACCACTAACTAAGTTTTAACAAGTACTTAATTTGATTATTTTACAACCTTCGGTTTCGGAATTAACAAACACAAAATAACTTGTCTATCTGTCTAACAACACATGTCTATGTATGTAACACCCACCAACCAACCACTTGATTCTCTAATCAAACAATCAAATCAATGATGATGAATTACAAAAATGACTAGCATCACATGTTCACACTTTACTATTGGATCTAGACAAAGTTATGGTGATGGCTACTAAGCTTGATAACTTAACTGTTGATTCCTCCTTCTCTGCATGTGCAACAACGTTGGAACAAATAACGTCGACAACTACTCCAACAACAACCACAACAACAACAATAACAACCACCGCTAATTATAAATTAACTAACGAAATGAACCGCTTTCAATTAATGCCTTTAAATACTCAAATAATACAAACAACAACAACAACAACAACACCCGCATTGGTTACATCTGGTCAATTATCATCATCAATATCATCATTACCACCAACATTATTAACTTATAATAACAAAAATGTCTTTGCCAATTCTACGTCCGCTTCCTATTCCACACCACACAATACCAACACGTTTCCAAATCCTTGCACTTATCAAAATTGTCAAACCAATGCACGGGCTAATTGTAATACAACACATGTAAATCGTGGACTATGCGCTTCTCACTCTACAAATACTTATGCTTCACTTCATTCGCTTGTCGCTCAACGTACTGTTGGAAATGTCGTCACTATTGAACCATTAATGTACTTCAAAAATTTTACTAATCACATTTCGGCAACCCTCCATCAAAATCCAACGCTTAACATGATCAACAATAATACCATACATTCAAATTTAACCACTCACTTTGAAATGCCAACCTTTAAAACCGATCAACTATCAAATTGCATTTATGCACCGACGTTAAAATGCGACGATTTTTGCAATGATAATAACTTAACTAATAATCCACTGGAATTTGCCAACTTTCACTTAAAAACAAATCGAATGCCGGATTGTAGTTGTAAGTTAAAAAATTGTTGTTGTGGCATATTTTAAGGTATTTGCATCGTGTAGGTTAAAGTAGGAATATGTACCGCACCTGTTTTTTAATTGAATCTTTGCTTCCGAAAAACAATGCAGTAGCACCAATGGTGAAATTTTATTTGTGCTAAGATGGTCTGCTCACTATTCAGGCAAAAATTATCTTTACTAATTGTTTTAAAACAGTTAATTAAATATAAATAATATATCTACAATGCATTTAAATTGTTTTGTCATCGCCACTAAATCCTAAAAATCAGGCATGACAGAATGCATCTCCTCAGACTCACAGATGCCATGCAGACACACGTTACCTAACTACTAGACTCGACGGTGTCCATGACATTCTCACGCAAGCCCGATCTACGATCTACCACCCCCGTCTATGGGTCGGCATGGAATATTGATAGCTGCGGTCCAAGAGACGCAGTTGCCCATCAATTCAACACCTGAAATAGGTGCGCTCCTCAGAGGTAAAAACCGTATGGTAGTCGGTAACTTCAACGCGCACCACAATCTTTGGCATTCAAGCCTGTCGAATGATCGTGGGGGAATACACTTGGCTGAGCAGATAGACGATTAGACGTTCTGCACAATGAACGACGACCTTTTCTACCCTTCCCACACCAACCGACTTTCACGTAGGTGCGCGTAAGTTCCGAAGGTTTGTCACTGCAGCTTGCTTCGGACCCCCGTCCGAATTTTCTGGCGGAAGTGGCTGTTCTGATCGATGAGCGTGACAACCTTCGCCCCGAAGAAGTGGGAAGAGCATTTGAAGAGTGGTAACTTCACCCCTGGTGTGAGCAAGCTCTGGTCAACCGTGCGGTCACTATCCAACCCGACGAAGCGTGACGACATAGTCGAAATTTCCTTCGGCGACCGCGCCCTCCTTTCCCCGGTAACAAAGACACTTGAGGACTTGCTACTCCCGCACTACACAAACCACTCGATCCCAGTGAGGCAGCAGCATAAGTTTCGTAAAATGCTGTGCTGTGTACAACAGCGTTTAACGCCATAAACACCCATATAACTCGTAGCCTTAACCAAAACCGCCCCTGTGAGAGAACAGTCCTAGTACTGTTAGATCTGTCAAAGTCATTTGAAACCTTCAGCCATTTCAAGCTACTAAAAGACATTAAGGCTTCGTCTCTCCCACAGGGGCTCAAGCGGTGGTCGGCGAATTATCTGAGTGGTCGACATTTGTTGGTCATTTTTGGAGACAAAACCAGCAATCCGAGAAAAATGAAACAGGTTGTCCCACAGGGTGATGTCCTTTCCTCGCTTCTTTTTACATTTCAAAGCACCCTCAACTACCAGATGGAGTCTCGATTGTCTCTTATGCTCGATAATGGCGTCTGGGTATGGGATTGATGACTTGTGCTCGAAAGTAAACGGTTACCTCACCGAACTTTCTTGCGTCTTCACTACAAGGAGCCTAGCCCTCGCCCCAACAAAATCCCCGCCAACCCTTTTTACCACCTGGACAAAGGAGGTCAGACTGTAGCGGGGTATTCACGTCGATGGCAAACCAATTCCGACGGTGAGTAAACCGAAAATCCTCGGAGTTACCTTCGACCGTCTGCTCTCCTTCTCGGCACATATGTATAATTGTCAATCGAGTCGCCAGCTGGCAGCACCTGGGGCAAAGGCACAGGGCAACGTACAAGGCAATTGGGCGGCCGGTTCTAAACTATGCAGCGCCTGTGTGGTCGCTGGAGATAAGTAGCACGCGGTGGATGAAGCTACAGTTTTTCAAAAATACGACCTGTTTTAGCAGTACTGCCACTAAAACAACCACAACCTTATAAAAAAAAATGGTTTGAATGGTTACACTGTGTTTTTTTTTCAAAGTTGTAATCTAAAAATCGTCTTTCATAGCTTCCTGAGCGTTTCTTGGTATTCACTAAACATCCCTCCTTGTAGAAGCAGATATAACTGCATTTGCTTTTTATTGACAGGTTTTTCCGGTTTTATAGTGATCCAGTTAGTATAGCACTTATTTATTAAAAAGCCATTTGATTTTTTTTATACTAAGATGACTTCCTAGGAATAACCAATTTAAAGTACAATAAACAAATAGTTTCAAATAAGAAAAATATAGCTTTGTATTACTTACTAAAACGTAGCTTATTTTCAGGAAAGATCAAACATCATTTTAATACACGATTCTTCTGCAAACAAAGTTCATTAACACGCTTTAGCCACTAAAGATCCCAAAACGCATGATCTTGTTAAAAGAAAAAAAAAAAAACATTTATTTTGCAACTCCTCAAGTAAAATGTGCGTCGTATGCCCTACTTTACCCTACACACTTTTAAGTCTGAAAAAAAAATATAATAATCTATGCTACCATTAACTTTTTGTTAAGCACACATTTATAGATTTCGGTTTTTACAACACTACATTCTTCTATTAACACTTTGGTGGTAGATCGAATCTTACAAACATAATGTTAATATAACAAGTCATTTTTAAGCAAAAAACAAAACCGACTTCAATTCTCATATACAAATTTAAGAGTACCGTTAGTTTCTACATGATCTACATAAAAATAAAAAATATAAAAATATTCTGACGAATTGATAACCTTCTTCCTGTTTGAAGTGGGTTACAAATCAGTTTTTATGTATTGTAATTAAGATTAGCGAATATGTACGTGTACGTACATGCATCGTCATCATTAAAAAAGCTCATAGCGACTTTTTTCTATAGCATATTTTGATATCAGAATTGTCAACATATTTGACCTTTACATACACCATTAATGTAATGCTGGATTTCCACTAGGCATTAAATGGCAAAAATGACAAATGACAAAGTCGGTCATTAAAAAATAATCGCGTCATTACATTAAAAAAATAATCATTAAGATCATTTCCACATGGCATTTTTTTAAATGGCAGACATTTTTTGTCGTTTCAATGCCTAGTGGAAATTCGGCATAAGTAATGATCTATAAACAAAAAGTTAATTAGGGCAACTTTAGTGTAAAAATCGTTCGATATGGTACATTTTGTCTCATTGGACGTGTATCCAATTAATTTTGTCATCATATCGTGGTCATCAATGCAAATTACTGTATTTGACAAATTTCAGATTTCACTGGATAAGTATAAACCCTTTTTAAACCTGCTTGCTTGTAGGGTCACATTTGATATTTACTATTTTTTCATTTATACTAAATGGGTTTAATTAACACTATACAAATTTCTCAAGCTATTTGTTCAACATTTTGAATCACAAGTGATTTCACTTTTTACCTTCCTTTTATTAGCTCGGGATGTAACTATGTAATATTGATGCGCCTAAAAGATGCAGCGATTTCTATTCTCAAGTTACATACCTGATGACAGTACGAATGGCAATTATAATAGGAAGGTGCTAGTTTTTTAAACTATAATTTTTTACTTTTTATAATAGCATGTTATTGCTGCTTGAAATGATCTTCAAAGTAATGGTCACGGTCAAAGGCCATAATTGGACAACTTGTACGTCTTTTCCCAAATGGGGAAGGATTAAGGAACTTTCATGAAAGTAAGGAACATGAAAAAACTGTATTGAACCTTGAAATCTCCTTCAAAGTCAAGGTTAAGGTAAAAACCAAGGTCACCATCAGATTGCGGGCATAAAATCCTTCAATTTTCGTCCTCGCCCTTTTTTCCCTTTTGGGTACTTTCAGAGATAGAGTGGGTCGGATACTTTTTGAACACCCGGTATTCACAGGTCTATTGAAAACAAGTAAAAAAGTCAAAGTTAAATATAGTTTAATTCCCCTTTCCGAAAACTACCGCTACATGGTAAACAGGGGTGGTTTTACCCATATTTCAAATATCTTCGATTAACTTATAGGGCGGTATCACGCTCATTTTCCAAAATTCCATAATAATATTACTACTTTTCAAGGGATTGTTGCGAGTATCAATTTTGAGTAAATTAGCGTCCTTAAATTTCGAAATATTACAGTTTCAAGCATTTCTGAGATTTACCGTTATATGGAAAGTGGGCGTAATTTCAGTCCGATTTCAATTATTTTCAACACTTTGCTTTTATGTGGTAAGCACAATAATCATACCGGGTTTGGTACAAATTAATCGAACGGTTACCGAGATACACATATCTATGTGGTCATAAGTGGGCGGTGCCACACCCATTTTCTGAAATTTCGACATAAACGTATTTTTGCTAAATTATTGCAAACATCAATTTGGAATAAATTACCTTCAGTATTTACTTATTTATCGAAGATTTCTTTGTTCTCTAAATAACCGTTATAAGGGATGTGTGCGTGGTTATTGTCCGATTTGAAGAGTTTTCAGCTATTTGGTATGCTGTACCAAGTCCAACAACTGTGCCAAATTTGCGAGAAATCGGTGGAGCGGTTACCAATCATAAGTGGGCGTAGCTACGCCCATTTTCCAAAAATTTATAATATTATTTTTCGTAGTGGATCAGGACACAAAGCTTTTCTAGGCTTTAAGCCTGGATAATCTAAGACAGCCTATAAATACTCGATTCTTATAAGGCTGTTTTTCTTCTTGATTGCTCTCCACGAAATCAGTACCTTGGCGAGCAATATCGTTCCGGCAGTGGTCATGTACATAGGTCCAGTTGGTTAGCCTTTCTTCGGCCTCTACAAAAAATAAAAAATATATACTATGCCACACTTACCGTCTTTGTAACTTACCAGAGGCTTTATGTAACTGCAGTTAAGCCTTTGGTTTTTAGTTCGTCATACATATACATAAAACACCGTGCGACAGTCAATGTTATACACGAAAAAATCAATATATTCACAAAACGGGGGGCCAAATATAGTAAAACTGCGTTTTTAGTTTTTTCTCTCTGACGTCAGGATTTTTTTTTTAAAGAACCTTGAAATTTCTAGAATATGATTGCATAAAAAAATTATTCAAAAGATTCGGTGCATTGTAGAATAAGAATATGGGTATCAATTAAAACGAAAAATTCTGTAGAATAGGAAAAAAAATTTATTTTTGGGTGCATCAAGACGAATAAGTATTGAAAAGTCCTTTTAAAACTTTATCCTTGAATATCCTTGGAAATTTCCAATATTTATTTTTGAAAAAAATACATATGTCAAGGACTAATATGTATATTGTAACTATCAATATCTTATAAAGAGAAGTGTACATTTTTTTATCTAAAACGAATAACGCTAGAAGAACGAAATTCGAGGATTTGGTAGTTAACATATTAGTCCTTGACATATATTTTTTTCAAAAATAAATATTGGAAATTTCCAAGGATATTCAAGTATAAAGTTTTAAAAGAACATTTTCTAAACTTATTCGTACTGGTGCACAAAAAATTTAATTTTTTTCAATTCTACAGAATTGTTTCTTTTAATTGATACCCATTTTGTTACTCTACAATGCACCAAATCTTTTAATTTTTAAATTTTTTTATTTAATCATATCCTAAAAATTGTAAAGTCACAGTCAAAGAAAGAAGAATCCTGACGTTAGAGAGAAAAATTAAAAAGGCAGTTATACTATATTTGTCTCCTTGTTCTGTGAATATATTGATTTTTTCCTGTGTTTTAAAAATTTTTGGTTTTTGTCGCACGGTGTTATATATTCATATTAGGTCACTTTCTCTCTATCGTCAATATTAAATGGCAATTATTTAAATTACCATTACCCAACATATTTGAACCATCAAAGTGGATGCCACTACCACCAAATGCGTTAAAATATAAAAAGCTTTTTATATTTACTTATACAAGAAATATTTCGTTAATA